GGTCTCCCCACCCCACCCCCATCCTGGTGACCCTGAGTTTCAATAAAATGGTTAGTAAGATATTTTACTAACAGACAGAGTTGACTCAAACGGTTCTTGTGCTCTGAGTCTATAAGTGTGAGAGGACTGAGATGTTGGCACCAGTCTGCAGGTCGGTCAGCAGGAGACTGTTCCTGACCGTTATATTTTACTAACAGACAGGTCCTTATCAACCTTTACTCTGCTGATGATAGTCCTGCTCTGCTGTCAGAATAATCANTTTATCATTCTACCAAGCAAACTAATCAAATCAGCATTTTTACTATCACTGGTCAAGTAATTGCTGTAGTTAAATGTTGATGTTTACCTAAGTATTTTGGGATGGAAAGCAGTCTTATTATGACATCAGTACTTAATACTGCCATAATGATATGACTTGTGATAAATGAACAAACACACAAGTCTTTCAAGTCTGGGTTCAGAGAAAAACAAACAAACAAAAAACTTATCCAGCATATATTTTTTTAATTTGAAGATATCCATCCAGTTGACCAAACACATGAAGGGCTCCATTTGATTGGTGAAATACTTCAAGCTCCTGTCTGAGTGACAAAACTCTTAAATGCAAACTTATGGCAGTTTTTTGTGATGGGCCTATTGCACAGGCTGTTACTGTGATGACGATACAGTTTCAGAATATTGTACATGTCAACTGAAAGTTTTTTCACTAGGTTTTTCTGCTCTTTCATTTTTTTAATTCACAGCAGATGCTTTTAAACTTCTCCTCTCCTAAGTTCATTTTTATAAAAAATATTCTGCATGTAACTTCTTAAGATCAGTCAGTAACTGGTTGGACTAAATTTTAGGTTTTATTTTTAATTTAAAACCAAATATATATTTATCTTTTGAACTTTTTGTTAAAAAATTGTTTGTTTTTTATGTTTGTGAAGTTAAATAAAATAATTAGAGCAAATTAAAACTACACACCAAAAGCTCTGGCTCTGGGACTCTGGCAAAAGGTGGGTCAGTGTGTGTGTGTG